GACCTGTCATATGATACAGCAGTCCCATTTCTGAGTATAAATCTAATAAAATGAAATCACTACTCAAAGAGATTTGTACTCATGTTCATTGAAGCATTATTTATAAGAGCCAAGATATGGACACAACTTGCACATGTTTATCAAGCAGATGGATGAAGAAAATGTGATATACAGGTACACACATGGAAATGTTATTCAGAAAAAGAAAAGACAAGAAAAATCCTGCCATTTGTGGTAATATGGATCAACCTGGAAGACTTTCTGTTAAGTGAAATAAAGCAGGCACACTATATTTTGTGATCTTACATAGATGTGAAATCTGCAAGAAAAAAAAAAGAAAGCCACAGAAAGCAGAATGATAGCTACCAGGGAAAGGTTAAGACCCTAGTTATAGGCCATGTGCTTTCTGGAAATGTATAACATGATGACTACAGTTAACTATTTATTATATACTTCAAAGAGAGTACATCTTTTGTGTCATCATTAAAACAAAACAAACAAAAAACACCAAACTAGATTCTGGATGCTGGAAGCTCACTCCTATAGTCCTAGCCACTCAGGAGGCTGAAATCTGAGGATCTGCCAGCCTGTGCAGTAAAGTTTGAGACTCTTGTCTCCAGTTAATCACCAAAAAAAAGCTGGACTGGAGACATGGCTCAAGTAGTAGAGCTTCAGCTGTGAGCAAAAAGCTAAGGGGGAGAACAAGACCCTGAATTCCTATTCCCTGTACTGCCTCCTCCTAACCACCCTCCCCCTGCAAAAAAAAAAAAAAAATTAAAAAGGGACTCCTTGTGATACATTGGGTAGGTAATCCAGAGTAATTTCTCTCTGTCAAGATCCTTAATCACACCTGCAAAGTCCCTTTTGTCATATAGGATAAATATTTGTAGATTCTGAGAATTAGAATTATTATTATTGCCAGTGTTCACATCTTCATTGAGTCTCTTTTTATATTTGTTGTTATTAAGTAACCATACAAAGGGGTTGCCATTCCATAAATCATGGTATGAGTGCAATGCTTCTTGGTCAGTGTCAGGTGTCAGCTGTTCTTTGTTCTCCACATTAAGCCTTTATTCTTTTGCAGTCTCTTTTTCTCCTGTGTCCTTGTTTCTTGAATTTTATTTGTAGTACTTTCCCATACTTTGGACTCTGCTGATTTCATTGCTATATTTGCCTATTTTTCTATATTTCCTATAGCAGAGTAATTTAATTAATTGCATCTGAAGCTTAATTTGATTCAATTCTTCTTAATAGCAAGACCACTTCATAGGTAATGTTCTCCTTACACTAAGAGTCACATAAAGCCTGAATTTATTTTTTTGGGATGTTCATATCCATTAATGTTTAATAAGTATCTCTATTAATACATTGAGGTTTGTAAAATCTTGGTGTTCTATTGTCATCCATTTATTAGCTGGAATATTTCCCTTACTTAAAACTAGTTACCCACTGGTACATAGTCATATCTTTGGTGCTGATTCTTGACCTTCATGTAAAGAATAGCAGATTTGGGCTGGGAATGTAGCTTAAGTGGTAGAGTGCCTTTTTTTCAGTACTAAGATGTCACATCTCCTGATTTTCAGTTTGTTGGCAGAAGTTTGTTGTACTTGTTTCTTTTATGTTGCATTTTCTTGACTAAGAATTTTTTTTACTTTAACCATTTGAATACCACATCTCTTGGGGTTTTTCTTTTTTAAAATTTTCCCTTTTGGGAAAAACCAGTTGTTTAAGGACACAGGTGGATCTGATGCAACAATGAGAAGTACAAGTTGTCATGTCCAAAACGAGCTTTACAACGTCGGTGGGGGGGGGGGGGGGGAAGGAGAAGGATTGGGGGGGGAGGGGGGAAGGAGAAGGATTGGGATGGGGGGAAGGGGGAGGCTGGGAAGGGATGGGAAGGGTAAACAAAGGAGGAGGCTGCAATGCTTGGTAAGAAATGTACGCATTATCCTGCCCATGCAATTGTAACCCCTCTGTACAGTATGTTCACAAATAAAATAAAATTAAAAAAAATTTCCCTTTTGGGGGGATATTCTGAGATGTGTTTTGAAGCTCTTTAAAAAAAATCAAATTCTTGGCTATTTTTCTCTAAATACATTTAATTGTTCTCTTTTTCTCCTGGAATTCCTATGACATATATGTTAGGCTAATTTGATATTGTTTACTGTTCTAGAATGCTTTGTATTGTCTTCTTTCCTTTTTTATATAATTTGGGTAATTTCTACTAACCTCATTAAGTTCACTGACACTTTTCTTCTCTGTGGAAGATCTATTGCTGAACCCATCTAAGTTACTTTTAACCTCTTTTTATTTTTAATAAAGTACAGTTTTTAGGGTTTTCAAAAATCATTTGCATTTGACTCATTATTTTCATCTTGTATTGAAATATCTCACTAATTTATGCTTGTTCTTAAATAGAGCTTGTTCTTAACTTGTTCTTAATACACTAGTCATTGTTATTTTAAGTTCTCTAATGGTTCAGACCTATATATTATTTTCATATTTTGTTCTCTTGATGTCTTTGCCCTTGGCATTGGCATCCTCTTCCTCTTGCGTGTCTTATAATTTTTATTTGAAAACTGTAGAGTGTTCAAGAAGTATAAGTCTAAGGTATAACTACTACTCATGCTTGGAAATGACAAGCTTTTCTTTTGCTAAGTTTATAATGTAGAGGTAGGAGGTCAGCTTATTCAGGAATTGTGTTAGATTTGCATATTGTGGTTGCTACAGTTACCTAGCTGATGTTTTCTCTAGGCTCCTCTTTAAGTGGGTTTGTTTGGTGGAGGGTTTCCTTGAGTATTTCTGCCAGCTCTAAACTTTAGGCCTTCCTATTTTCCTGTGCTTTACAGGAATTTTCATGTTCCTGCTCTTTCCATTGTGTTAGGTACCTGTTGGTTATTTCAAGCTTATTTCATGGTTGTGAGGAGTGGAATTCATTCTTTTGGTTTTCCTATCTAGATTCAGCTCTTTGACCTTGATTATTGGGGCAAGGCTTCATCCAAGAACCACTCCCCCACAACACAAAACAAAACAAAAACTCCAAAATTAAGACCTTTAATTATTTGAGCCAAGGAATGTAAAGAACTTTTTACCTTTTTCCTTTCCTCTACAGCAGTAGTTTTGTTTCCTATTACCTCTGGTAATATTGTTGTTGGATCTCTTTCCTTCAGGACTTTTCTTTCCTGTAGGACAAGAGTAATGAAAGCATTTGTGCCTTTCCTGCAGCCAGCTGCTCCCTTTTCCCCATAATACTACTACAAAGAGACCCTCCAATTTCCTGCTCAGCCCTCAGTCTTAATTATGAGTGTGGAGGCTTTGTGGACTGAGCTTGCCAGAGAGTATAAAGTAGATAGAGCCTGTGAATGGGTACAAACTTCTGTGTATGGCTACCAGCTCTGTATTTTTGTACTGGCCAACACTCATTTATCAATAGTCTGCTAAGTACAGTTGACTTCTTAATACTAGTTTCATTTTTCTCCTGCCTTCTGTCATATGTGGCCTACTGCTATAGTACCATGTCTTTTTTTTTTTTTTTGTCAGTCCTGGGGCTTGAACTCAAGACCTGGACACTGTCCCTGTTCTTCTTTAAGCTTAAGGCTAGCACTCTGCCACTTGAGCCTCAGCACCACTTCCAGCCTTCTCTGTTTATGTGGAACTGAGAAATGGAACCAGGGCTTCGTGCATGCTAGGCAAGCACTCTACCACTAAGCCACATTCCCAGCCACCGCCCCACCCCAATGTCTTTTTTTTTTTTTTTTTTAAGATTTCAGTTTTGCTAGTTACTTTTCTTTCTTTTTCTTTCTTTTTTTTTTTTTTTAAGATTTCAGTTTTGCTAGTTACTTTTCTTTTTTTTTTTTTTGGGTCCGGTCGTGGGGCCTGAACTCTGGGCCTGGGCGCTGTCCCTCAGCTCTTCAGCTCAAGGCTTTGCTAGTTACTTTTCAACCTCACCTTTTCGATGGATTCAGCAACAGTTATGATTTTGTAGGTGATTGCTTTTTCTTAAAGTAGAAGTGACATTTTCCTTCATTGTAGACAAAAATACAGAGTGTTCTTATATTTTTAGCTGTTAGATTTAGGAAACATTTCAAAGTTATAGAAAGATTGCAAGTATACTCAGAGAACTGATCTAGTCACCTAATTTACCAGTTATTAACTTTCTTTGCCAACTGTACTTTATCAATATTGTCCTATCTATTTACAATATGTTATTGTCATCATTATTGAACCATTTGAAAATAGAATAACTAAACTCCATGACTATTAACTCTGAATACTGTAGTCTCATTTTTTTCAATACCCAAGTGTACTTTTTATTTATTTTGTCCCTGTCCCTGAGCTTTTTCTTTTTTTAATTTTTTTTCCTTATTGAGATTAAGTAGTTACGTAAATTTCACAAATTTCACAGTATTGTAGGATAGTGATACTTAAAGTCACAAACACATTTTAACCTTCACAAGGCACATTGTCATTATTGTGGTCTATAAAGCTTATGGACTCTACAAACTTTTACACTACTGCTGTTGTTTCCAAATTGGGTGATATGTACTCCTTTTGCTAAGTGTAAGCTGTTCCCTCTTAATCTTTCATTCCCTCCCTCCCATCACTGCCCTTGAGTTGCTTAGTTCACTTTCATCAATGTTCAGTGCAGCTGATGGGCCCCTCTGTTGTATTTTTTCCTCTTTCCCACTGATTCTGTGCCTTCCACCTAGCTTCCCTCAGATTGCACACATATAAATACCATATATATGAGGTCAAGAACGTTTTATCTAGAAATAATATGACAAATTAAGAAGTCCTTTGTTTCTTGAGTCTTGTTTACTTTGTCATATCTCCTTGCATTTTGAGTTTAACATCCACATATCAGGGAGACCATGTGCCATTTATATAGTCTCATTTTTTTAAGTTGGTAATAGGTGAAGATTTCTGTGTCAGAAATTATATGCTGATATTAAGGTATGCATCAATAATTTTTATTCATTAAGATCTCTTTCTTTCTGTAGGTATCATTATTAGGATTGGAAATTTTAAGTGCCTTTGTGGACAGATTATCAACACGATTTAAATCCTATATACCACTGGGTAAGTTAAGTTTAATTATTTAAAAATCATTTGAGAGTTTGATACAGTGGCCTTTTCCCCCCTAGTTTTTGTTGAACAGAATTAGTTCCCTGTAAGGTAAAAAAATTCAGTTTTGTACAACCTAGAGGTCTACTCCTTAATGTTCTAGTTTACCCAAAGATTTTAAATTTGTTTAAATATAGAATTACATTCTCATTGAAGCTAACAAAAAAGAACAGTCTCTAAGCATCAGTGCTCACATCTGTAATCCTAGCTGCACAGGAGGCTGAGATCTGAGGATTGCAATCTAAAGCCTACCTGAGCTTTTTTGCTCAAGGTCAGTGCACTATCACTTTCAGCCACAGCACCACTTCAGGTTTTCTGGTAGTTAATTGGAAATAAGAGTCTTACAGACTTTCCTGCCTTGGCTGGCTTTGAACTGAGATCCTCAAATCTCAGCCTCCTCAGTGGCTAGGATTGCAGATGTGAGCCACTGGTACCCGGCTTACTAACATAATTCTAAAGTATGTTCTCCATATACTCTCATAGTAATACATATACATTTGGTTTTCTTTTGTGACTACATATATTGTACAAAAGTAAAAATTTCCAAACCAAAACATAATTTGTATTTAATAATAATCACCAAACTTAATATTTTAAATTTATATAAGTTTTAAACATAGTTCTAATTTAGTAAGTTTAGTAATGTGTCTCATATGTAAACATAGTTTCACCCTCTCATAATATGCCAGAAAGAATACTAAGAATAGTCAGGACACCCAATCATTAGTTTTGTGTTTTATAAAATAGTTTATCTTTTACAATGGTAGGAGAATAAAATGAACTAACACGTATGCTTTAGCTTTTTTCCTTTTATCAGTGTCTCTGATCAGTCTTTGATAGATTGATTCATTTGTTTTACAAATTCATATTGAGAACCTCCATAGTAAACATTCTGTGGATGCCCAGCAAATAATATATATATATATATTTAATGACAACTCGATATGTGTGTGTATATTTAGTTTTTTTTTAATTGTTATCATGAAGGTAATATACAGAGGGGTTACAGTTTCATAAGTAATGAGTACATTTCTTTTTGAACCATGTCAACCCTTTCTTTGCCCTCTCAGTTTTTCCCTCCTGTTCCCTACCTACAGTGATCATTATGTTTTAAACAGATCTTTAGGGAAGACCACTAATTCAACTGACGGCTTCTTTTGCCTTTTTCCTGTTATCTTTATCCTTGGTAACTCCTCTCCCCCCCCCTCCCCTTTTTTGGGCCTGTCATGGAGCTTGAACTCAGGCCTGACCACTGTTCTTGAGCTTCTTTTGCTCAAAGTTAGCACTCAACCACTTGAGCCAGAGCTCCACTTCTGGCTTTTGAGGGAATGGTTTAATGGAGATAGGAGCTTGTGGACTTCCTGCCCAGGTAGAATTCAAACCATAATTCTCAGATCTTAGCTTTCTGAGTACCTATGATTGTAGGCATAAGTCATCGGCACCCTACTAATAACCCTTATTATAGATAAGAAAACTTTAAGATTAGAGAATTTCACTATCTTGTAAAATTAATAACTGATAGAGTTCAGAATAAAATCTTGTCCTATTTGTTTCCAAGAGAATAGGTATTAAAAGGGGATTTATTCATTTACGCATTCATTCCTTGTCTTACTAAGCAGCCCAGCCTGGCTGCAAATTCACAATTCCCCTCCTTTATATCTTGAAAAAAGTGCTGGGATTTTACTTGTGTATCATCACCACACCCTGTTCAGGAATGGATTTCAGTTCAAAATCATGAAATCATGTGGCCATAATAATACTAAATTTATGTAATGTACAGTGTTTTGTTGTTGTTTTTCTTCTGGTATTGAGGTTTGAATTCAGGGCCTTTCACTTGCTTGGCTTACTTACTTGGCTGGCATTCTACTATGTGAGCCAAGCCTCCAGCCTTTGTTTTTGCTGGTTATTTTGGCAATAGTGTCTTTAGGAGTTTTCTTTCTGGGTTGGCTTTGATCCTCCAGATCTTACCCTCCTGAGTGGACAGGATTATAGGCTAGAACTGCTGGTTCCTGGCTTTGTTCTTGATTTGTTTGCATTTTATAAAATTATTTTTTGTGTGTGTGTAGGTAGTGTTAGTAGAGTTGAACTCAGGGTCTCATGCTTGCTAGGTAGGTTTTATCATCTCTAGGCTTATGTTTTTGTTTGAGGCTAGTCTTGAACTATAATTTTGCTGACTATGACCTCCCATAAGATTGGAATTATGAATATGGGCACATACCATTATGCTTAGTTTATTGATTGAGATTGGGCCTTGCTGAGTTTTTTCCCAGGTTGGCCTAGAACTGTAATCTTCCCAGTCTCCTTCTCTTAAATAGCTGAGATTATAAGTGTGAACCAATGTGCGTAGCTAAAATTACTTTATATTATTGAAATAAATTCCTATTTGGATCAACAATTTGCATTTTATTAAAATTTTACTTTTGAAGAATAAAGTATCTTTTTTTCCCTTTACTGTTACTTGGTTAAAACATTTCTCATTCCTTCCCTCCTCCCTCTTTAGACTATAGATTAATCTTATATAGGTTATTTAAATTCTGCTTTTACTACTTGTGACGTGGATGTTACTTATTCTTCTGGACTTTCTCTGTTAAATAAGCCTACTCTATTCCATAGGATTGTTGTGAAGATTAGATGATGTAATTCAGTGATTATAGTATCTTTTTTTTTTTGGGTCCGGTCGTGGGGCCTGAACTCTGGGCCTGGGCGCTGTCCCTCAGCTCTTCAGCTCAAGGCTAGCTAGCACTCTACCACTTGAGCCACAGCACCACTTCTGGCTTTTTTCTTTTTGCTTATGTGGTGCTGAGGAATCCAACCCAGGGCCTCATGCATGCAAGGCAAGCGCTCTACCACTGAGCCACCTTCCCAGCCCTGATTATAGTATCTTAACGTGCAATGTTTACTATTATTTTTTGCCATTCAGAAGAAACAAGGGGCCCCAAATGCCAATCTTTTTTCAAATAATTTTTTTTATTGTTGTTATAAAGGTAATAGAGGGGCTGGGAAGGTGGCTCAGTGGTAGAGTGCTTGCCTTGTACGCATGAGGCTCTGGGTTCGATTCCTCAGCACTACATAAGCAGAAAAAGTCAGAAGTGACGCTGTGGCTCAAGTGGTAGAGCACTCACCTTGAGCTGAAGAGCTGAGGGACAGCGCTCAAGCCCAGTGTTCAGGCCCCACAACCGACCCCCCCAAAAAAAAAATCCAGTTATTGTCTGTAAGTCAGGTCGGGATAGCCAGTCTTACAGATATTGAATACTTACTTCCTCTACTATTAATAATATGTCCAGGAAAGAGGAGAACAATTCATATTGTTTTCATTAAGCAATGCTTGGGGGTGCTTCCTTTCCCCTGCCCATATTCCCTTTTACCTCCTCTCTATACAAAAAGTCTAAGGAGAGCCTCCCTTCTCCCTCCCTTTTCCTTTCCCTCTCCCTCCCATTCCCTTTGTTCTTCCCTTCCCTTTCACTTTTTTCTTCCCTTCCCTCTTCTCCCCTCCCCCTTCTTCCTTTCCATCTCCTCCCCTTCTCCTCTCCCCCACTGTCTCTCTCCCTCTCTGTCTCATTTGACTTTATCTCCTTGTCTCCCTCCTTCCCTCCCTCTTCACTTTCTTTCTTCCCTCCATCTTTTCCTTCCTTCCTTTTTTCTCTTTTATAGTACTGAGGAGTGAATCCAGGGTCTTGCACACTTTAAGCAAGTACAACTAAGCCATATCCCCCAAGCTGAACCAATAGATACTTCTATTGCCTCATTATTAGACTTATGAATTTTATAATGGGGACTGTGGCAAGTTTGTGTGTGTGTGTGTGTGTGTGTGTGTGTGTGTGTGTGTGTTTGTTTGTTTTTAGGCAGGGACTTATTACATTGGCCAGGCTGGTTTTGAACTTGTAATATTTTTGCCATTGTCTCCTAAGAGCTGAGCACTGGAAATATAGATGTAAACTATTATGCTCAGTTTGAGGGCTTTGTTTTCTTACATCATTATTTCCTTGATTAAGCTGTCTTAAGTAACTATACAGATGCCTCTTTCTTGGTTTTATTTCTTCATATATTTCCTTGTTTAAACTAAATCTAAGCTTTCATTGGCTCAGAAAAGAATAGAGATGTAGTGCTAACAGAAGCAGAAGAACTTTCTTGGCATGTTAATATGGAAGGTGATAGTAGGGATAGTGGGTAATATGTTGAGAGTGCTTACCCTGTGCCCTTTATTGTGTGAGTTATTCACGTGTATTTTAATTTTCAATAATCCTCCACAGGTGAGGAAATAGACAAAAAGTCTATTAATAAATAATAATGCACTCAGTGTCACATGCCTAGTAAAATGACACTAAGTGATAGAAATCATTTAAGGAAATACAGAACAATCATTTTGCTTGAGCCTTTTTGTCCCAGGAACTGACTTTAGAACCTGTAATCTCTGAATTCTACCCTTTCTCCATCACATGTAAGTTCAGGTATTGCTCTTCAAGTCCTGAGTTCAAGTCCCAGGACCAGCACAAAAAACAAAACATAACATTGATCATGAAAATTCTTCAAGAATGGACTCTACTCTCTCTTCCTGCCCCTTTAAGTAATATTGCCAAAGACTGGACATAGTATAGATAAGCCTGAGTCCCAGGGACCTTGTTTTGTTTGTTTCTGTATGTCAGTTGTTAATGTCAACTACAAAACAATACATACATATCTAACAAATGCAATTTAAAGAGTGATTATAAAACCCATACCTTCTTTTTTTAAAATTTTTATTGATTAGGTGATTATAAATTTTACATATTTCACAGTCTTGTAGAATATTGATACTTAAAGTCACATATTTTAACCTTCACAAGGCAAATTGTCCATAAAGTTTATGAATTATATGAGCTTTGACAATACAGCTATTTCTTCCACATCAGGTGATATGTACATTTCTTTCCTACAGTTCAGTGTAAGCTGTTCCCTCTTTTTCTCTCATTCCCTCCCTCCCATCACTGCCTTTGCATTGCTTAGTTCATTTTCATCTATCTCCAGTGCAGCTGATAGGCTCCTCTGTTGTCTGTTTTCCCATTTCCCCTGATTCTGTGTCTTCCTCCTAGCTTCCCTCAGATGTGTGCATATATATACCATATAAGTGGTCAAGAACATGGAGTCATTTAGCAATGATATGACAAAATGAGTGGAAGTCCTTTGTTTCTCGAGTGCTGTTTACTTTGTCATATCTTCTTGCATTTTGGCTTTAGCATCTACATATTAGGGAGACCATGTGCAGTTTGTCTCTTTGCTCTTAGATTACCTAGCTCAAAATGATTTGCTCTAGGTCCATCCATTTCCCTGCAAATGCCATTATTTTGTCCTCTCTAATGCCCAGTACCTTATTGATGATGCCTTAGTCCAGAAACGAAAACTGCAAGCTTTCTGTGACAACTTCCTTCAGCCACAGGTCACCCCTTTGGGCTAAACAGTTTCTTGCTTGTCTGTAGAGCTTAACAATTCATAATAGAATGTGGTTTTTGTTTGTTTTTTTTTTTGCTTGTTCTTTGAACACCTTTTTTTTTTTTTTTTTGCCTGTGGTGGGGCCTGAACTTTGGGCCAGGGCGCTGTCCCACAGCTCTTCAGCTCAAGGCTAGTGCTCTACCACTTGAGCCACAGCACCACTTCCGACTTTTTCTGCTTATGTGGTGTTGAGGAATTGAACCCAAGGCCTCAGGCGTGCAAGGGAAGCACTCTACCACTGAGCCACCTTCCCAGCCCCCTCTTTGAATACTTTTAAGTCCATGTCATACTGTTAAATTTCGTTCTCAGTTACTTCAGTTGACTCGTGAATAAGGAGTATAAAACAATTTCTTCTCACAGCTCTTCATTTATGGAAGCAATTGGTATATGTGCTTTTTAAAAAAAAGTTTGTAATGAAGTTGAGTAATAAATATTTCCTCTTTCCCCCTCTTTAGTTATTGTAGCTTTAGTAGACAGAATGGGAGATGCCAAAGACAAAGTTCGAGATGAAGCTCAAACTCTGATATTGAAGTTAATGGATGAAGTATCAACACCAGCGGTAAACATACATTTTAAAATTCTGATTCTTGTAGGCAATGATGAACTATCAGTAAAAAATAGATGGTAATCAACTCAGTTTACTAAGGCTTTACTAAGGCAGAAATGCTTGTGTATTGTTGTTAATGTTTTAAAGATATTGAGATTTAAGCTACAGTGTCAATACTTAGTTTTTATTTTGTTCATTTTGTTTTCTTTATTCTTTAAAAAACGCTTATAGGTTAAGTGATTTAATTGTATACTGACCATGATTTTCTTGATATCCTTGCTTGGAATTTATAAAATGTTGAATGAGAATTAAATTCTGAATTTCTTATAGAAACAGAATTTTCTTTTTTCTTTTGGCCAGAAATCAGAACTTCAACTTAGTACCTGCTGCTTTAGCTCATTGGCTAGCCCTTTCTCAACTGAGCCATGACTCCAACCAGGAAGATTTATTTTAAACATATTATTAAGTAGTTTTTACAAAGAAGCTACAATTCCATAAGTTAGTTTGTATGTATCTTTAGCAATACCATACCTTCCATCCTTCTCCCCAAGTTTTCCCCCCTCCTATCCCTACCATCAACTTACATAGTTTGTTACATAAAGTTCATTGATTAATGACTGTATTTGCTTACCTTTCTTCCCTCCATCCATGTGCCACCCTGAAATTCTTTTAAGACATGGCTACTTTTTTTTTTTTTTTTTTGCTAGCCCCAGGGCCTGGGCACTGTCCCTGAGCCTCTCTGTGCTCAAGGCTAGTGCTCTACCACTTAAAGCCACAGCGCCACTTTGGCTTTTCCTGTGTATGTGGTACTGAGGAATCGAACCCAGGGCTTTATGCATGCTAGGCAAGCGCTCTACCACTTAGCCACATTCCCTACCTATGGCTACTATTTATATAATTTTGACAGCAACCTGTTTTATGAATGCAGTAAAATAATTTGCCTTGTAAATTTCTTAGTCCATTTTTTTTTTTTTGTTCTTGTTTTTGTCGGTCATGGGCTTCAACTCTGGGCCTAAGTGCTGTCCCTCAGCTCTTCAGCTCAAGGCTAGCTTTCTACCACTTGAGCTACAGCGCCACTTCCTTTTAGTCCATTTTTTGTTACTATAATACAATATCTGATATTAGCACAAAAAGAGATTTATTTAGCTCACAGTTTTAGAGGACAAAAGTCTAAATGGCAGAACACTATCTGGCATGGGCTCACTTGACACATCTCCCTATGGCAGAGGGTACAAGGAATCCCTGCATAATGTGAGGAAAAATCATAGGAAGCCACAGGCCAGACTTTTTTCCTAATAAAATTTTAGTGTTATTATTAAGGTGTTGTACAGAGGGGGTTACCATTTCATAAGTCATTTCATAATGAGTATATTTCTTCCTCCTGCTCCTGCTCCTGCTCCTCCTCCTCTTCCTCATTGTTATTAAGGTGTTGTACAGAGGAGGTTACCATTTCATAAGTCAGGTAATGAGTATATATATTTCTTCCTCTTCCTCCTCCTGCTCTTCCTTATTATTATTAAGGTGTTGTATAGAGGGGTTACCATTTCATAAGTCAGGTAATGAGTATATATATTTCCTCCTCCTCTTCCTCCTCCTTATCCTCCTTCTCTTCCTCCTTCTCCTTTTCCTTCCTCTCCTTTCTTCTTCCCACTCTTTTGACATCTACTAAGCTATAACCGTTTAATGTCTTACCATCTCAATACCATTTTAACAAATGTAAACCATTGGGGGAAAACCACAGCATAGAGGAACTATTTTGAAAAGAGAGTAAAAATAAATTGATGTATAAACAAAGAGTAAGATAATAGCTCAGCCAGGCACTGGTGGCACACACCTGTTATCCTAGCTACTCAGGAGGCTGAGACCTGAGGATTGCTGTTTGAAGCCAGCCATGCAGGAAAACCTGTGAATTTCTTATCTCCAATAAACTAATCAGAAAAAGCTGGAAGTGGGTGCACTGTGGCACAAGTGGTAGAGAACCAGCTTGAGCACCAGAGCTCAGAGATAGCACTCAGGCTGAGTTCAAGCCCCAGGACTGGCAAAAAAAAAGAGAGAGAGAGAGAGAGCAAGAGAGAGAATAGCTCAAGTGGAAAGTCAGAACAGGTAATATGAACAGTGAGTATCATGTAATATTTAAACTGCATCTTAAAATAATGTTACATATGTTCAATGAAAAAAAATTCAGAGAAGACCAGGCACTTGTGGCTTATACTTATAATCCTAGCAACTCTAGAGGCTGGATCTGAGTATCATAGTTCAAAGACAGCCTGGGCAGGAAAGTCTGTAAGACTATTATATCCAGCTTACCATCAGAAAACTGGAAGTGGCGCTGTGGCTCAAAGAGATAAGAGCACTAGGAAAAGAGCTCAGGGATAGCACCTGAGTCCCTGAGTTCAAGCCCTGTGGCCAAAAAACATAACAAACAAAGAAACCCTAGAGAATGTCAAATTGTAAAAGTAAACTGTTTCCCCAGGTATTTTATACTTCATAACAAAATTGTTGTTAATAGTTTGATGGGCAGTCCATGTTATTTTAAATTACGGTTTTCTGTTATGCAAAGTACTACAGTGAAAATCTTTGTACATAAATACATGCCAGTGGCTCATGCCTGTAATCCTAGCTACTCAGGAGACTGAAATCTGAGGATCACAGGTTGAAGTCAGCTGATCAGTAAAGTGTGAGATGCTTTATCTCCACTAAACTACCAGTGAAGCTGGAAGCAGAGCTGTGGCTCAAGTGGTAGAGCACTAGCCTTGAGCAAAAAGGTGATCAGTGTCATAGTCCAGTCCTCCTGAGTTCAAGCCCCAGTACTAGCACCAAGAAAAGTATTTATAACAAATTGAATTCCAAAGATTGTGTTGATGAGTCAGATTTTTTGGGGGGGGGTCCGGTTGTGGGGCCTGAACTCTGGGCCTGGGCACTGTCCCTCAGCTCTTCAGCTCAAGGCTAGCTAGTGCTCTACCTCTTGAGCCACAGCGCCACTTCTGGCTTTTTTCTTTTTTCTTTATGTGGTGCAGGGCCTCATGCATACAAGGCAAGCACTCTACCACTGAGCCGACTTCCCAGCCCGATGAGTCAGATTTTTTAAAGATATGTATATTCCTTGCTAGGCTCAAGTACTTTACCACTTTAGCCATACCCCTAACCCCCTCTCTCTTTTTATATTTTATTTTATTAATTAATTTATTGGCTTTAGTTGTTTTCTGTATTTCTAATGTCAGCTTTAGATGGAGAGCTTTATATGTATGTCTCCATATAGCTAGGATGATAGGGGTATGTGCCAACATGACCTACTTAGTTATTAAGATGAAGTCTTGCAAACTTTTTTGCCAGAGCTGTCCTTGAACCATCTCCAGAGTAACTGAGAATACAGATACAACATCGCTCCTAGCCAAAAATTTTAGAGTCAACTTTTGAATAACCTTTGTGAAAGTTCAGAAAGGAAGAGAAAGAAAACTGAAAGAAAGGAAAATGAGTCTAGAAAGTGTTTGTATTTGGTAAATGGTAAAGGTGGTTTTCTAAATGTGGAGGCAAGGTTTATAGGGACAGTTTTCTGTGTTTTTGGAATGTTAAGGTTGAATTCCTAATTTTACCAAACTCAAATAATTATTTTGTGTAATTTGTTATAAATTTCTCTTTGCTTTCTCTTTATAAATTAAGCAGTCATAAAGGACTTGTCCCAAATGTTTCTGTAGTTGGATCTAGTATTAAGAGAATTTAAAAAGCCTAGTTATAAAATGAAAAGCCTGTTCCATGTGACAGTCTGTGGTAGTTGCTAGGCAATTTTGGACTCTTAAATGCCTACTGGACTATTTGGGTGCATAATGGTAGCATTGTTTTTTGAGGTTTCTAAAACAGAAGAAATTCTGTGTTCTTAGAAATGCAAAGATTCTTAGGTGTTGGATATGGTGGTACTGTTTGAAATCTAAAATGAAATATATATGAATAAAGAGTAAAAATGAGACTTAAATATTAAGTGGACGGGAACATTTATAGTGTAAATTGGGTTTAGAAAACTTTGTAAATGAGGTTGAACATCCTGAGCTCTAAAATATCCAAAATGCTTTAAAAGACCTTTTCAGATTTTGATTTCTTTGCTTTTCTTTTTTTCCCCTCGTCTGTGGTCTCCTTTTCTTCCTCCTCCTCCTCTTCTTCTTCCTCCTCCTCTCTTCTCTTCTCCTCCTCTCTTCTCTTCTCCTCCTCTTCCTCCTCTCTTCTCTTCTCCTCCTCCTCCTCTTCCTCCTCCTCCTCTTTTCTCTTCTCCTGCTTCTTTTCAACACTGGGGATTGAACTCAGGGCCTCACGCTTTCAACTCCAGTCTCTTTGCTTTTAGTTTATTTTTCAAATAAGGTCTTGCAGTTCCCCATTTGCTGTTATGTATAGGGAGCAGGAAATCTTTCTCTTTTCCCATTTCTCTTTATGTTAACCCAGATACACTAAAATAAATCCTTGGCTAAAACTTAAAAAAAGAAAAACAGGGTCTTGTACTAACTTTGCCTAGGTTAGCCTGGAACTATAATGCTGTTAGCTGGGATGTAGCTCTTTGTAATTGAAACTAGCTTCCTGGAACTCTTGATCTTCCTACCTCAGCTTGCCAAGTACTGGGATTACACACATGTACCACCATACTTGGCTTCAAAATCTAAATTTTTTTTTTTTTTGTCGGTCATGAGGTCTGAACTCTGGGCCTGGGTGCTATCCCTGAGCTCTTCAGCTCAAGGCTAGCTCTCTACCACTTGAGCCACTTTGGTTTTCTGGTGATTTGTTGGAGATAAGAGTCTCACAGACTTTCCCTTCCCTGGCTGGCTTTACCTCAATCCTCAGATCTCGAGTCTCCTGAGTAGCTAGGATTATAGGCATGAGCCACTGGCGCCTGGCCCTAAAGTGTTCTGAGCGTTAATATGACAGCACAAGTGAAAACATCCATATTTGACCTTATGTGACAGATCACAGTCAAAATTCAGGTGCAATAAAAATACTGTATAAAATATCCCAACTCCAGTGGCTCATGCCTATAGCTACCCAGGAAGCTTACTCAAGAAGCTGAGATTTGATGATCAATATTCAAAGCCAGCTGGGGCAGAAAAGTTCATGAGATTCTTATCTCCAGTCACCCATCAGAAAAAAGCAGGAAGTGGAGCTATGGCTCAAGTGGTAGAGGACCATCTTTGAGCAAAAAAGTTCAAGGCCCTGAGTTTAAGCCCCAGTACCAGCACCAAACAAAAAGCAAAAAAGTATAAAAGTGTACAATAACCTCAATCAAGAGGCAGAGATTGCACCAGCTCCAGCATAAAGTTAGCAAAACTCTATTGCAACCATCTCAACAAATAAGTGGACATCTTTTTTTTTTAATGTCTGTAATCCCAGCTTCATGGGAGGACCCAGTCTGGCCCAGCCCTCCCCCCCCCAAAAAAAAATGTGGAACCCTATCTGCTGGGCATGTGGCTCAAGTGATGAAATGAGGCTCTGAATTCAAAACCCAGTACTACCAAAGAAATAATAAAATAACCTTCAGGGTATATATCTGTGAAATGTAAATGAGTTTTGTGTTTAGGTCTGGGCCCCATCCTCAAAATATCTCACTGTATATATGTAAATATTCCAAAACCTGAAAATAACAATTTGAAACACTATTGGTCTAAGACAATTTAAGGTAAGGGATACTTGGCTGTTATAGAAATACTAACAATCTGGGCTGGGAAGGTGGCTCAGTGGTAGAGCGCTTGCCTTGCATGCATGAGGCCCTGGGTTCGATTCCCCAGCACCACATAAGCAAAAAGAAAAAAAGCCGGAAGTGGCGCTGTGGCTGAAGTGGTAGAGTGCTAGCCTTGAGCTGAAGAGCTGAGGGACAGTGCCCAGGCCCAGAGTTCAGGCCCCACGACCAGACCCCCAAAAAAAAAAAATACTAACAATCTGAAGAAAATATTTTCTTACCAGTGAAGTTGGTTACAAGGTTAGGAAGATTTAAATTAGTATTGCATACATAACTTAATTTTATGTTACGTATGTTTACTTTTCTTTCAAATAGTCCATTTGGGAACAGTTGGCTTCTGGTTTCAAGCACAAGAATTTTCGATCACGAGAAGGCGTGTGTCTGTGTCTTATTGAAACCTTAAACAAGTAAGTCTCATGATAATCGAAAACAGCATTATGTTTTTTATTTCTAAATAAAAAAGTTACCATTTCAGTAGGTCAGGTAAAACTATGGAAATAAATTTTACATAGTTATCAATTGATTGCTAGCACAAAAACACAAAGGTAATTTATGGTCTCTCAGTTTTTTGGTAGTGTTATCTTTCATAGTATTAGTTTTTAGATTATCAGTTAATGATAGGAAGTGTTTTCTTAGCTGGGCACAGTGGCTCAAGTCTGTAATCCTAGCTCCTTGAGAGGTAGAGATTGAAGGATCATACTTTGAGGCCCACCTGGACTTAAAGGTTTGAGAAATTACATCTCAACCCATGGTTGGTCACCTGATACCCCAGCTGCAGGGGAAGTACGGTGGCAGGGCTCATTTGTTCATGTCTGTCCCCAGCTACAAGGAAAGTATAAGTTGAAGGATCACAGCCCAGGCTGGTCCAAGCATAATGCCAGATGCTACCTGAAGAAAGCCATACTACAAGGAGTGGAGGCATAGCTCAAGTAGTAGAGTACCTGCCCAGCAAATACCACCTCCTCATAGGCAACCCTCACAAAAAAAGTTTTATTATGTTAATAATAGCCACTCAAAATTGATGATCATAGAAATGATCTGTTGACAATTTAGGATTTATTTCTATTCTGGATTTGGAATTGTTTTTAACTTATTGATATTCCACATTTTAGTCCTCTTTTCCCAACTGCCTTTTGCCAGTTGGTCCTAGTCTTCCTGGAGAACTGGGTGGTTACCAAACTCATCCACCAAGCAAGACTTACCAAATGCCATAGGACTATGACTCTAGGCCGAAGAAATGTAAATTGGGGTTTTTATTCTTGTTCTGGAGAATTATTTCAGGATAGGTGGAGTATAGTCAGTAATATGTACTTGCTTTTCCTGTGGCATTATTTGCTCTTAACTATAATTTCTTTTCTTTTCTTTTTTTTTTTTTTTTGATCGGTCGTGGGGCTTGAACTCTAGGCTTGGGTGCTGTCCTTGAGCCTTCAGCTCAAGGCGAGTGCTCTACCACTTGAGCCACAGTACCACTTCCGGTTTTCTAGTGGTTTTTATTGGCGATAAGAGTCTCATGGACATTCCTGCCTGGGCTGTCTTTGAACCTCGATCCTCAGATCTCAGCCTCCTGAGTAGCTAGGATTACAGGCGTGAGCCACCGGCGCCCGGCAATTTGTTTTCTTTTACTGCTCTGTGGTCCTTTCTGCCATCTAGAGCTTGTAAGTGCATTCAGTCTGCACAGTTTTTGTGGGCGTTGGCTTTTCTGTCTGTCATTTGCTTTCAACCTGTGACCACATCAAAATATTAGTAAATATAAATAAAAATCTTTTAACTTATTTCATTGGATAACATTGTTATTTGAGACCAAGAATCTTACAAAAAATATTTCAAAAGTAAATGCCTTGACTTCCTTAAGTAATTGATAAGTTACTAGATTTCATAGTGCAACATTGGTTGAACATTTTGCTCTGTTGGGTCATGTGTTGACAGTTTTCAGTGTCATTCACAATTAGTCAAGTCTGCATATTTCACATTGTTTGGAATTATGTTTTTGCTTGTTTCTCATATACTTACTGTTTCAATGATGTATGCCCATCTTCTCTACCATATTGTCATAAGTGATAAAGATGAGAAGGCATAAGAATATTTGATTTGCTACTTAATTGAAGCCAAATTCTGTTTGTTTTTTCTCCACAAATTATATTTAGTTTTGGAGCTCAGTCACTCCTCATCAGCAAGCTGGTACCACATTTGTGTGTCTTATTTGGAGATTGCAACAGTCAGGTAAATTTTTATTTATTTTTGAGCACAGACATTTTTCACTGTTCATTTTTGTCCTCTCATCTATTTATTTATTTTAAAGAAAGGGTGGGGGGAGTGAAATCTTGTGCTCTTATTCCCTTTATTTCCTTTAAAGAAAGAGTGAAGTGGAAATAAAGTCAAAACTTTACTTTTTTTGAGGAGCCTGTGGTCCAGGCTGGCCTGCTCCTGCCACGTCTTCCCAAGTAGCCGGGACTACATGTGTATGTCACCATGCCTAGCTTTATTTTAGTTTTAGAAATACATACACCATAGTTAGTTGTTTGGGTTGTATTTTTTGTTGTTGTTTTGGTTGTTTGCTTTTGTTTTTGGCGGGTCATGTGGCTTCAACTCTGGGTCTGGTTGCTGTCCCTGAGCTCTTCAGCTCAAGGCTAGTGCTCTACCCCTTGAGCCACAGCGCCACTTCCAGCCTTTTCTGGTGGTTTATTAGAGATAAGAGTCTCACCAACAATCCCTGCCTGGGCTGGCTTTGAACCTCAGTCCTCAGATCTCAGTCTCCTGAGTAGCTAGGATTATAGGCATTAGCTACTGGCATTGGACTGTAGTGTTTTTTTGTTTGTTTGTTTTGTCGGTCATGAGGCCTGAACTCTGGGTCTGGGCACTGTACCTCAGCTCTTCAGCTCAAGACTAGGGCCCTACCACTTGAGCCACAGCGCCACTTCTGACTTTTTATGCTTATGTGGTACTGAGGAATTGAACCCAGGCAAACACTCTACCACTGAGCCACCTTCCCAGCCCCTAGGCTGTAGTTTTTAAAAACACATTTTATTCATATAAGATGCAAAGTTGGTCTCTTTGGCTAGTTTTAAGGATAGATATTACTAAATACCTAATTGTTGAATTTGAGAAATTGGGTAACAAAGTCCCTGGGTTCCTTTCTGTAGTTAATATTTCATACATTTCTTGTTAGAAAACATCATTACCTGAGCAGTCTATGCTAGAGGCATGATACAAGGATATGTTCTGAATCTTGACCCTTCTAGTGGAGCTGAATCTTAGTTGTAATATTTTGGGTTTATCTGGGGCATTTGGAATGACACTTTGTAAGATTTTTTTCCCCTCCTTTCAGTTTCTAGATGGACCTCAGAAGGTTTGTAGAGTTTCACTGTCTATTCAAGTTGTTTTTTTTTTTTTTTTTAATGGGGAAAGAGGGTTGAATAGGTAGGAAGACAAGGTCTCTCTCTCTCTCCCTCTCTCGCACCAATACAACATTTTAATATAAATGGCTAAAATACAATCTCAGATTAGTCATTAATCTCAAATAAACTTCCCAGAGCAACACAGGGTCTCTTTATGTTACCCAGGCTGTCTTTGTATTCCTTAGATCAACTGACCTGACTTTTAAAATCAGTGTTCCTAATCAGTTATTCTTTGACAGTGTACTGTACCAAGGAACTAGAACTATCTTTTAAATTCTTGTCTTTAAGTCCATTCTCCTTTTTCTTTCCTTCAATTGTGGTAAAATATACATATAATTTACCATTGCAGCTGTTTTTAAATGTACAAATCAGTGTATCAAATTCATTCACATTATTTTACAACCATTGCCGCTATCCTTGTGCAGAACTTTTTCATCTTTCCAAACTGTATCCACACAACAACTTCCTACTCTTCATTCTCCCAGCTGCTAGCAGCCACCATTCTACTCTCTATATGAATTTGACTAGTCTAGGTACCTCGTGGAAATCAAACCATACAATATTTATTCTTTTGTATCTGATTTATTTCATTTAGCATAATATTCTCAAGGCCCAACCCTTGTAACATGTCAGAATTTTCTTCCTTTCTTTTAAAGGCTGAATAATATTCCAGTAACACACACATGCATATACACAGCCAGTTTGTTTATGTATGGAAGGGCATTTGAGTGTTTTTAATACCTTTTAGCTATTAAAAATTGTGCTTCTATGTTTATTAGTATAAAAGTGTTCAACTTCAGACCACATTCCTAAAATGAAGTTATATTCAAGAAAAATTAACAATAAAATGTACATTAATAGTTTATCTTAATACAAATTAAGTTTTTTGACAGCACATCTGTAGCTTTTTTTTTTTTGCTGGTCCTGGGGCTTGAGGCTTGATCTCAGACCCTAAGTACTGCTCCAAGCCTCTTTGTGCTCAAGTTAGTACTCTACTACTTCAGTTACAGTGCTACTTCTTGCTTTTTCTGAGTAGTTTATTGGAGACAAAAGGCTCACAGACCTGTTTGTCTGGGCTGTGATCCTCAGATCTTAGCCTTCTGAGTATCTATGATTACAAGTGTGAACCACTGGTGCCCAGCTAATTAGTAACTTTTATTTACAAGTTTCTTAGATTTCTTTACAATTTTTTAAGCTAAGATAATCTAGGGATTTCTTATCATCTTCTTGAGGTTTTTTTTTTTTTAATGGATGACATGTCATAATTTCCCTATGGTTTTAGAGCCATTAAAACCAATTTGGTGCTTCAAATTGATCTGTTAGTATAATGTTACCTTGAGGTGAAGAATTTTTGTCACATAAGTTTCTTTAAATATTCCGAATTCTTTGACAGGTGAGAAGTGCTGCACTCTCAGCTATAGTAGAGATTTATAGACATGTAGGAGAGAAATTGAGAACTGACCTTTATAAGAGAGGAATTCCTCCTGCCAGGTAAGTCTTGCTGGATTTATTTTTTTAACTCTTACATTTTAAAAGTATTAATTTCATTTTAAAGGAGTACAAAATTGTTACTTAAAATTCAAAAGATTCAAGGGGGCTGGGAGGTTCAGGTGGTAGAGTGCCTTTTTGGCAAGTTCAAGGCCCTGAGTATCCAGTATCAAAAAAAAAGACAGGTTTTACCTTACCTTCGCTTACTACTTTCTCTGATGTTCAGTTTCTTTATGTGGACCTGAGTTTCGGATCTATATAATTTTCCTTCTCTTTAAAGAAATCCTTTTTAACATTTCTTGCAGAAGATTTACAGCCAACAGATTTCCTTAAATATTGTTGAAAAAATCTTTACTTTTGAGGGATAATTTGACCAGTACAAAATGTTGGGTTTATGTTTTTGTTTTTATTTATTGATTTCTTTTTGCTTCATTCTTTTTTTACTTTATTTATATTTGTATGTGAGTTTGTACATGAGAGAGAGAGAGAGTCTATATATGTACTGGGGATAGAATCCAGGGGTTATGTTACTTAGCCATCCTCCCAACCCCATTTCACAATTGATTTCTGAGATGTTGGATGTAATTCTTATCTTTGTGTATATAAAAAAAAAAGATTTTTCCCTTGTCTTTTTATCAGGGTGCTTTTAAAACATTTTCTATTTATGGGGTAGAGCACTTGCCTTGAGCTGAAGAGCACAGGGACAGTGCCCAAGCCCAGAGTTCAAGCCTCATGACCGACCAAAAAAACAAACAACAACAAAAACCAGTTAAGCCTGGCCTCGGTGGCTTACACTTGTAATCCTAACAACTCAGGAGGCTGAGATCTGAGGGTTACAGTTTGAAACCAGCCCAGGCAGCAAAGTCACTGAGATTTTTATCTCCAATTACTTACCCCCCAAAAAAGCTGGACATGAGCTGTGGCTCAAGTGGTCGAGCACTTCCCTTGAGCACAAAAGCTCAGAGTCAGAACCCAGACCCTATCCTGAGTTCAAGCCCCAGGACTGGTACCACCACCACCACCAACAACACTGGAAGAATAGTAGGAAAAATGTCCTTTAAAGTTACAGAACCTTTCCTATCCCCAAACTCTAGGCACTGAGCTCTCATGTTGAGAATCCTTACTTTGTTTACAAATAAAAACCTTAAAAAAACAAAACATTTTATGATATGCTTATGTATAGTTCTTTTGGCATTTATTTTGTTGCTGTTACCTGAGCTTCCTGGTTGTGTGGTTTGGTATTAATTTGGGGTGAATTCTCAGTGATTATTGTTTCCAATATTTCTTCTATTCCTTTGTCTTGTTTTGGTATGCCCATTACATGTATATAACATCTTTTTTATCTGGCTGGCTACGTCTCTTGGATATTCTGTTCTTTTTTTTCTAAAGTCTCTTTTTGTTTTTGGTGTCGAAAAACTGTTATTGAGATAAACTCAAGCTCAGTCTCCACTTTTTTCCCTGGTTTGAGTCTTACAAACTTTTCAATATTTTTGAATTCCCATATGAACATGTAGGAGACAGGCCTTAGAGACAGTATTTAGCAAACCTCATGATTAAAGGTATCTTTAATCTTTGTTGTTGTTGTTGTGGGGCTTGAAATCAGAGCCTGGGCACTGTCCCTGAGCTTTTTTGCTCAAGGCTGGCTCTCTGTCACTTTGAGCCACAGGGCCACTTCCAGTTTTCTGGGGTTAATTTGGGATAAGAGTCTCACAGACTTTCCTGTCCAGGTCTGGCTTTGAACTGTGGTTCTCAGATCTCAGCTCCTAAGTAGCTAGGATTACAGGTGGAGCCACCAGCACCAGGATTAAAGCTTTATTGCTGCCCTAGCCACAAATGATGAGATTCACTCTTGGTTAGGGAGAGTGTAGCTCAGACAACTGCCACAGTCAGCTTTGCTGATGCAGAGAAACACAGTCCTCCTGTAGTCAATTGCGTTTTATTTCATTCAGCTGTTTGAATTCTTTTTGAATTTCAAAAAAATTCTGGTGTTTGTATCCTTTGAGTTCATTCAGCTGCTTAGACATCTCCACTTTAATTATATATTTTAATTTGTTGTTTGAAACTTCTTCCTCCTCACTGTCATTTATGTTCTTTTGTAAAGTTGTTGGCCTTTGAGAGAGACATGCTGCCTTTATTGTGGATTTGTTTAAATTGGGATTTACACATTGGAACGTGTGTGTGTGTGTGTGTGTGTGTGTGTGTGTGTTGTGTGTGTGTGTGTTGTGTGTGTGTCCATCTGTCGGGTCCTGGGGCTTGAACTCAGGGCCTGGGAACTGTCCCTGAACCGCTTTGTGCTCAAGGCTAGCATTCTACCACTTGAGCCACAGCACCACTTCTGGCTTTTTCTGAGGGGTAGTTTATTGGCGAAAAGAGGCTCACAGGCTTTTCTGCCTGGGCTGGCTTTGAACTGCAATCCTCAGATCTCAGCCTCCTGTGTAGCTAGGATTACATGCGTTAGCCACCCAGTGCCTGGCTGGAACCTAGTTTTTAGGTGGAGTTTTCTCCTTTTTTGGTGGTGTCTCAGAGATCGCCTAATAGTAATTAGTGGCTATGTTGTGATATATTTTGTTGCTTTTAGATTGGAAGGGTGTGGGCCAGTAGTTAAATATTCAATTTTAATGTTCAAAACACTCTTTTCCACTCAGGGTGAAGAAGCTTGGTTGCAAAAGGTGTTGCAGTTAAGACTGTGTGTTTGTAGCAGTCTCCAGTAAAGACCAGTCACCACTGCTGCTCCATCTTTAGATGAATATAGAAGTAAAGATGTATTTTTGTGATCTAGGAAGACTTTAGTTAACCAGGATCATCATGAAAAGGAGATAAGATGACACTAATGAGTAATCCAAAGTGATGATGACATAGGGAAGGAAAGAGTGGCTTAATAGAAGAGCTTAATAGAAAAGGTTAAAAAAGTAGAGATCAGTAGAAAAGAGCTGGTTACTTTTGTGATGAAGGAAGAAAAAAGAGAAATGAAAATTAAACAGATAAACTTGTACAAACACAAAAACTATAAAAACAACGAAAATATTTTAAAAAATGTGATGTCTGGGCAATCTAGTTACCAGCTAAGAATACAGGTAATGAAAAGGGGTTAGGAATGGGAAGATAAGAGACAGAAGAAAATATGAGTGAGAGCATTTTTAAGTGTGGATAGAAGGAAAGTATAAATGAGGAAGGAGAATAAGAAAGGGAAGAAAATACAATTTAAGATTGAGTACTGAAAAGCAGATGCTCAGCTGAATATAATGACTGCAGAGAAAAGGAAGGGAGGAAAAAACGACGCGGGTAAATAGTTGGGGGAATACAAATTTGCTTATATCTGTTGTACAGAAAGATCTGTACAATTAAATAAAAAACCAAAATAACCAAACAAAAATCAGCAATTTTATTATATAAAATAAAATAAGAATTTTCTTTTTTTTCTCTCTCCCTTCTTGGCATATGCACTGTGTGTGTGTGTGTGTGTGTGTGTGTGTGTATGTGTGTGTGTATCTGTAGAGTACTAGATACAGATTGTGGATATCATGATCTGGAGGGTCTGTACAGGAGGTTTCAGACTTCCTCAGCTGTCAACACATGGAACCAAAGGACAGGCCCTGGAGAGAGTACTTAGCAAACCTCAGAATTAAGCTTTATAGCTGCCCTAGTCATAGGTTATGTGTTTCATTCCTACTTGGGGAGGGTTTAGCCTCTGATGACTGCCACACCCAACTTTTAATTTTCTAAGCTGTCTCTAATGGTACCTCCATTTTGGATTTTGAGCCCAAACTGCACTCAGATGATTAGAGCTGCCAATCCTAATGGCTGCCATACCTCTACTGAGTGCCTCCGTAGGGAGTTCCAAGCCTCCTTCACTGGGCACTGCCAGGTATCTTGAGCAGCTGCCTCTGGTACCTATACTGCCCATGTAGTTCCTTGAAGTTTAAACTGGTCTGCAAGGCCCTGTGGGACATTCTTTTTTCTTCAACAGTCGCTTATGACTGACTTATACCCAAATTCTATGGCAAGGTATACTTATTCTCAGCCCACTCTTTCCAGTAGGCACTCTTCTCATGATAGCTGATGTTCTGCTGTCTTATCCAGGAACAACAGAATGCCCTTCTTCTACTCCCTGTTTTCACTAGTATATATTCTCAAGTTAACTTTTTATTGACTGTTGAATCCATTTGAAACAAGATTTATTTTATCATACTGGTCACATTGTAACTTTAATTTTCAGAAGGGATTTTTGTCTCTCAAATACTGCTCCCTTTGTAGTTTCCAAATTTCTTCAGTTTAAAGTATTTTTGTTTACTCATTTATATCAAAGGTATTCTTTGTTAAAACATATAATTCATAGGGTCATCAAATTGTTTTAAAATAATGTTTTTTCTCTGTCAGACTTTTTTTTTTTTTAACTAAGTCTTGCAGTTTGGTGTTAGCATAGCCTAACACTAACAGTGAAATTGATTATAATTATAGTCCTTTTTGATGTTCATCAAAGATGCCAAGATCATTCAGTTGGGGCATAAATAGTCTTTGCAACAGGTGAACTGTGAAATTATGTAAAATTACATCTTTTCTAAACAAGATATCCCCAAAATAACTAAAATAGATCTTAAATTATATAGGAGTTAAAATGGTTCAATTCTGAAAAAAATGAAATATTTTATGATGTGAAAGCAAAATGTATGCAGCCCAAGAAATAATTAGCTAACCTTTGGCAGTATGGCCATTTTCAGGATACTAACTCTACCTATCTATGAACATGGGAGGTCTTTCCATTTCCTCATGTCATCTTCAATTTCTTTGTACAGATTTTTATAATTTTCACAGTAGAAGTCTTTTGCTTCTTTGGTTATGTTTATTCTTAAATTTGGTTATGTTTATTCTTAAATATTTTATTATTTATTTTAGACAATGGAAAATGGGGTTGTTTTCCTAATTTCCCTTTCTTTATGATTGTACTCCCCATCCCCCCCCAAGTCCGAGGGCTTGATGATTCAGGGCCTGGGCTCTATCCCTAAGTTTCTTTTTGCTCAAGGCTAGCATTCTATCACTTGAGCCACTGCACCACTTCTGGATTTTTCTGTTTATGTGGTACTGAGGAATCGAGCCCAGGGCTTCATTCACACTAGGCATGGATTCTACCACTAAGCCACAATTCCAGCCTGATTGTACATTGTTGGTATACAGAAAAGCTACTGATTTTTGTGGGTTGATTTTGTATTGTGTTACTTTGCCAAAGTTATTGATCAGCAGTAGAAGTCTGGGGGTGGAGTCTCTTGAGTGGAGTCTCTTATATATAGTTTAGATATAGAAGATAATGTTATTTGCAAATAGGTTTTTTTTTTAAATTTTCTATTTCCCTATGTGAATCCCCTTTGTCTCTTGTATGTCTCTTGCATTATTACTGTGACTAGAAAATACAGTATTACATTGAAAAGGAGTGGAAAGAGTAGACATCCTTGTTTTTGATTTTAGAAGATATGGTTTTAGTTTTTCACCATTTAGTGTTATGTTGACTGTTAGTCTGTCAGATATAGCCTCTTTTTTTTTTTTTATGTTCCTTCTATTCCTAGCTTCTCCAAAGCTTTTTTTTTTTTTTTT